CTGTGACCGCTCTGCGGAGCAGCCATCCGGGCTGACTGCCCAGGAGCATTTTAAACTCTCTTCCTGTCACTGGAAGGTCTGCCTACAACGTCCCGGCAATGTTTTTATTCCTGTAGCTAACATAAATGCTTCTTTACAGACAGATCACTTTGGTGTTTGTGGTGAGGTGATGAAATCGTCTCCCAGGGCCTTGTAGGTGGCTGGTAGCACCGCTCCACTGGTTCCTCCAGGAGGGCCTGAGGCACCCACGCGCACCGCAAAGCTTCTAGGTGCTTCTTCTTTATTCACACCTATGTTTTGAAGATCCTAGGTTTGTTCCCTAATCACGAAGCCTTGATAAATTTTGCTACCTATAACATAGTGAAATATTTAACAAATCTGAACTACATTACACTGAAAACTTGTAAATAACTAAATGAGCCTCCCCTTGGAAATGCATAAAAGGCTCAAACGTCCTCCTGTGGATGTGAAGAAACGAACCCATACAAACCTAAATTACCTACATTGAGTATGTTTTATTAATTTAAAAGACTATGTTCAACCTTTTTGAAGTTCTTAATGATACAATAAAAATGATATATAGCTCTATAAGAGATAAAATCATGTTCATATACTTGACAAGATATTAAATTGTGTTGGTGAGTAAACAAGAAGAGACAAAGCACTTTTGCAGATCAAGAATGATTCTGATAATATAAACTAAAAGCTCTAGTGATCAACAAAGTTTGATATTGGCATCATAATATTTCAACAGATGTGAATACAGCCTAGTTTATACATCCTAATTTCATAAGTGGCACGAGAACCCTGCAGGGATCGAAGGGGAGAAGTTCAGACATTGGCCTCACCTGAAGTGTGGGCGCTGGTTTATTGTGGCCAGGGGGCACCCCCATTGCTCCAGCAGAGACAGGTGGTGAGAAGCACGTTGGTATCCGTTACGGCCTCTCCCTGAAAAAAAGCCACTCTAGTCCGTAGAGTATAATACTAATATACTTGCAACAATTTTAATAATATGAATGGAAATGAAGTTCTTTTGTGACATTGGTATTCTCTGTAACCATATCAGTTGCAGAATAACGTAAATATGCATAAATGTATCCTCAATTAAAAAAGTGTTTCTAATCATAGACCAGCCAGTAAGATTTTACGCATGCACAAAACAAAATCTTTTTGTTATGTGCTTGGGTGTCACGAACAAATAACATTTTTGTTATATATTTTAGCTTCGTAAGTACTAGGAAAACCGATACTTTTCATAACATTACTAATACAACGTGTTAAAGTTTACTTAGTGTCCCCAAATTTCTTGCTCATTTGTGGAGCACTACAATCATCAATTTGATCAAAAATACTTTGCCAACTAGCAAACTAATTTTACTTTGTTTTTAAAAAGATTTAAGCATATTAAAAAGAAAACAGTGAATTTTTAGCAACTTTTCATTTGTATTTTTCACTTCTTTCATTTACATTCAAAATCCTTTTCAATTAAATTATCGGTTGCTAAATTATGACTTGCTAAATTATGTATAGGAAGTATCACCTATCCCAACTAAAATGAATGTCATTTGCTTAATCAGGTAAATGCTATGTTTAAATTTTTTTCTATTTTTGTTTTACCAATGAATTCTACAATTTGAGTTCTTTTTCCTTCCTTATCTGTGACCCGCGGATACATGTAGCTGAGGTCTAGCTATGGGAAAATTAGTGCCAGGGTGTCTGATTTCCTCCTAGCAAGAAAGCAGACAACAAAAGCAAGCCCCTTCTAGAATTCAGCAAAGGGGACAGTGAGGTGTCTTCTTTCTAAGCCCTGTTTCCTCTAAGTGTCCTGCCCAGGACTCAGATGAGAGTCACCCTGCTGGCTTGGGTGCTGCTTGTCCTGAGGCTGCCTGAGGCCAGGCCCCCTCCGCCCCGGCCTGGCGGCGCTGCCATCCCCAGGGAGTGGCCGTGCTCCTTTCGGTGGTGTGGTCACGATCGGGCTTCCTAAGGCCAGCACCTAAATGCCGTCTTTCCATGCCCCACACGACCACCGTTTTCCCAGGGTGTTCTTGTTGACGCCAATATAGCTTCTCTAGTTTGGCTTCTCTGTGACTCAGGGGGAATAAATCCGAGCAGTGTCTGCCTGTAGAGAGTGTAAAGGCGGCCAGGGAATGATGCCTTGAGCCCCTTTCTGGCCAGGGGCCAGGTCTGCAATAAGCCCGCAGAACCTGCTGCTGTAACTTGGACCTTTGCAACGGACCAATTTACTTTCTTTTCTGGAGGGTCTAATTCATGAGGCTCCGGCTACAGAACTTTGATAGGAGAAGCTGAATCGTAAAGTCAGCCAGGAAGAGAGGACTTGGTGGCGAGTGGTGTGAGTGTTGTAATGTGGAGGATGAAATGCTACAGACAAGATACAGGCATTTATTCAGAAGGGACACAGCTTGGAAAAGACGCCGGTGGTGCAGGCCCAGGGACTTGCTGAGGGCTCGGTGCGGTGGCGTGCTTGCTGTGTTGGAGACCGAGCAGGCCGTTTCTGTGCTGCTCCAAGGTGCAGGCGCACAGCCACACACATGCGCATTCATAAACGGTGCGAGCGTGTGTTTCTGTGCATATACATACGTACTACGCACAGTATACATGTGTGTAATACCCAGACAAGGAGCACGCCCTCCTCTGCCCCGGGTGACAAGTGCTGGGGGGACAGTCCGGCAGGGACGGTGATGGAGCTGGATGGGGTGTGCTTGGCGCGTCAGGGGCAGGTGGGCGCTGAGCTGGCTGAGCCGGAGGGCGGCAAGCTGGTCAAAGAGCGGCTCCGGCTGGCATGGAAAGCACGACATAGGGGCTCCGATCTGCAAGGGAGAGACATTGTCAGTTCCCTTTGGGAAAGGCAGTGGGGCTGGAGCGAGGGGCCAGGCTTGGATGTGATGGACGTTCCTGGAGTCTGACCAGTCGTGAAGGTGAAGCCAACGGGATGTGTTGATAGATGCGAGTCTGTGTGCAGAGATGTGGGGGCCCGGGTGACTCTGCTGCCTTCTGTCGAACAGATGAACTCGCCTTTCTGTGAACAGGTAACTTCTTTATCTCAGAAAAGGGAAAATTGTCTTCTTGGCTACACGCTCCTCCCACATTGCCCGTCCATGAGTGACATTCACGTGGGATGTTGTGTGTCCTGGTGCGGTCTGTCGAATGCGGAATTACAGTGAGTAGGGAGCTGTCTTATTTGGGACTGTCATTCGCTCTCCCATGTGGGTGCTGCTCTGATGGGTGCTGAGCAGCGCCAGCGTCTGTGGACAGGCCGTCACGGAACCATCCAGGGTTTGCCCATTGTCCCTCGGGCCTAGGAAACCATGAAGGATTTCACGGCAAGAACCGTGCAGCCCTGTTCACAGTTACGGAGACCATTCCGTCAGGTCAGGGCTGCGGCGTGTGGCTCTGAGAGCAGGGCCGCCGGGTCAGAGACTGTGACAATCCCACAGGCAGGCAGGGAGGGCTGTGGGGTGAGGCCGGAGCTTAAGAGGCGGTATTTTGCATAGTTGTGACTCTTGTGAAATTGGGAGCATCTCGAATGGACTAACCTCAAGCTCCCCTCCCACGCTGCTCCTGCTGAAAGGTTCCCCAGCCAACAGCTGTCCCTGTCACGTGGACAAGGGGCAGTCTCTACTTCTCCCTGAGCAGCGGGTTCCAGCTCCCACAAGCCTGCCATGTGTTCAGTGGCAGCCAGGGCACCTCCTGTCCTGGTGCCCCACTTGTCACCCCTCCCCAATGCGACCCGGGTGGCCTGGCCTGGTGTGCAGGGTCCTCAGCCCCCTAACAAATGAGCTGTGGCTGCTCTCACCTGTCCAGGGCACGTGCTGTGTGTCTGGCTGTCCCTCCTCACCTTAGGGCAGGACTCCCTCTGTCCCCACAGGGACAGTAGGAGCTGATCAAAGACACGTGGACGAGGAGGGCACAGGCTGAGCGGCCCAAACCGTCCTGTGCAGTGAGGGTGACACAGATTAGCTTAGGAGACTCAGCATGAACAGACACATGACGGTCCCATCAATGCTTTTGGATTGCATGTTAAAATATGTTGGATATACTGTATTAAGTATAATATTACAATTGACTCCACCTTCTACAGTTTTCCGAAGTGGTTACTAGAAAACTTAAAATCACATTTGTGAGTCACATTATCTTTCAGTCAGAAAACTTTGTTTAGGGAAAGGCATTCAGGAAGAGAATCAGTGTAGCTGAGATGGCGGAAGAGGAAGGGCCCAGCCAGGAAGAGCTGCTCCTGGGTCGGGTGGTTTTTAGAAAGAAAAGGGGCAGCAGAAAGTTTACCTGACAGAGGAAGGCTCAGCACAGGATGTGTTCAGCGCAGGTGTCAGATAGACGTCAGACGGGCTGAACGGGAAGGTGGGTGGGAGGTGTGGGGCCAGGGGTACAGCTGGGGCCAGAGGGAGAGTTTGGAGTCACAGCTCCCGTGCCCTAAGCAATGAGTCAAGTTTCTAGAGCTGGGAGGTAGAGTGAACGGAGAAGAAGGTTGATGACGGATATAATGGCTGGGCGGACAATTAAGTGAACTGGCGCTGCCTAGCACCTCTCAGTAATGCGGTGAACTCTGAGTACCTACTGTGCGCCAGGCTTTGGTATTATATAACACTTCAGACGTATGAGACAAAGTAAGAGTTTCCGAATGGAAATTATTTACATAACAGTGTTATTTCAGGTCTGAAATGTGGTGCATTTGAAATGATAAATGCAAGAAAAATGTTTGATATTAATAAATACAATAGGAAAAAACTGAGATATAGAAAAGTGTTTCATTTGTGGAAAAGAGCTCTTACTTGAAGTAGATGAAGTTAGAGATACAGAGTTATGTAGAATTCAGAGAAATGTTCCTGTAGTTTGTAAGTATCTGGAATCTTTAAGTATTAATCCGTTATTACGGATTTGCCTTCATTACATGTTGCGGCTTCCCTTCAGTTTGAGGAAGTTGTGCCGGTGGGTCTGATCGTCCTGATGTATCAGTGGGGCTGAAAAGGAATTGGAGAGAGAGAAGGTGCGTGGGAGACAGTCACTCCATGAGGCAAGGAGCAAGTGGACGGCAGGAAGGGGCTCGGGGAGACGGAGGCACGGACCGAGGGGACCCGCCTCATTCTGCGTGCTGACACGGCAACAGCAGGGAGCGCACGAAATGGCGTTTGGATACTGGCGGGGGAGAAGGTTTCCATCTTGATCAAATCCAATTAATTGTATGTCCAAGATACGTAGGTTTTATTATTAAAGGGAATAGAGAAACATATTCTTGTTTGAAGAAAGAAGAGACAGTGGCCTGAATATTATACACCGCAGCTGTGACACTCACAGTCCAGCATAAGTGCATGAGGCATGGTGCTAAGCTATTTAACTATGTTCTCACTGATCACTTATGAGCACCCAGTGGGTCATACTTTGTGGCCTGCATGTACAGAAAGGACAGTGTGACTCAGCATGGCCACACAGCTGAGGGAGGCAGAAGTGGGTGAGACAGGACCCCAACGACCCTCATGACGTCCTGGGCACACTCGCTATGTGTTTGGGGTTCAGGGAACGCCACCTATAGCAACAAAGACAAATAGGAGGACACAGCTCGAGCACCAATTACAACCTCGGGCTTCAGGGGACAAACCATGTGACCGCAGTGGCCGTGACAGCAGTAGCGTTTATTCTGAGGACGTGAGGACCAGAGTGACGCTGTGCTCCTGAGCCGCTGTCCTCTGCTTTGCCCCCCACCCGGCTGCCCACATGGAAGATGCTCGCTCGCTTGCTCGGGAATTACACGTACTGAGTGCACACTGGTGCCCGGGGCTGGGACAAATGGGGACGTGCCGCCCGCAGCCCTCCTTCCTTTCTGAAACCGTCGGCCAGCACTGCTTCTGAGGTTTCTCCACCAAGCAAGCGGTCAGCATGTGGTCTAACCACTGGACATCAGTTCCACCACATAATGTCTGTGCCACTCACAGCAAGTCGGCAGGCATGGTGAACAGGTCACTCTGTGTCCTGGCAAAGCCGTGAGGCAGAAGAACGGAGGCAACACGAGGTGACAGTAAGTGTGTAGGTTGAAATTGAGGCAGATGAACTCTCTCACTGGAAGGAGAGCTATTTTTTTTTTAAAGAAAAAAGTACAGTGATAGAAGGGGTATACATTTTTCTCACTAGCATTCTTCCTTGTTGTTGATTTACTTATTTTGGGGCCATAGATAAATACAAACAAACTTTGGTTTTGAGTGAGATTTGTAATACAATTTTTAGAGACTGGTATTTGAAAAGCATGTATTATATTTTGATGCAGGCTTATAATCAAATATTCCCCCTGCCTTTATGAACATGAAGTAGCCAATGACCGCATGTATATGCGGGTTAGACAGTTGGAATGGAGATGGGAGGAAGGCGGGGGAGATACTGGCTTGCTTAAAGGTCTTAGTAAGTTCTTTACAATGTAAAAAAGTATGTCACTGAAGACCGTGAGACAGAATTTATTTAAAATTTTAAAGGATTACATATATTAAATCTTAAATCAATTGTTCTGAAGTAGCCAGTGGGTAAGTATTGGGAAAATCAAGATATTCTTAAAACTGAATATTTTCTTGATTTATCATAATTTTCTCATAACCCAGAGTCCCTCTAAGTAGTTTACTGTAAGATGAAGATGAATTATATAATTAAAATATATTTTGTTGTCTCCTTTCTCAATCTTAATAAGAAAAATGTACACACTGATCGAAATGAACCAGGGGAAGAGCTGGTTGAATTTGGGCAATTTTGGTCTCAGACATCTGTAGATGCGTGAATGATACTATGAACACTAATTGGAAAAAATGAGAAAGTGCAACAAATGCGTTACATTTAAAAAATCTGGTGACGAGTTGGACATGAATGTTGGTTAATATGAAAAATATCTCCCCTCTCTTCTATAAATATCTCTGTTATCTCACTTGGGAAAAAAAAGCTAATTTCTAGTTCAAGAAGGAAAAAGTTTGAATATAAACTGGAGAAAATCAGTGTACACACAGACATCCACCGTTAGAGCTGTAAATACACAATGACTGTGATTTCGGTTGGCTTGATGGGACGCGGTTGCCTAAGGAGCAATAAGGTTGAGAATCCGAGTCTCACAGTTAACAAGGAACAAGTCAAATGGCCAAGAAAAATCTTACATTTTCTGAGAAATATCAAGAGCCTCTAGCTGCAGTGGAAATCAACAGGAAAACGACCAAAAGTCTTAGAAAAGTACAAATCCAAGGGTGAATTCTGAAACAAAATAGGTAGAAATTCTTGATGCTCTTTCAGATTTGACTTGCTTGCTTAAAGCAATGACAAAAACTAACAAATAAACAAAAATAAAGATCTTTAGTTTCCTGTGAAGACACTGAATTATGCCAAGCATAATTTCTCAAATTACAGGAAAAAGGAACATTATTTACAGCCTGTAGAAGTTCTCTGGAGGAAGGATGGATTGAGAGGTGGCGTTAGCAAACCAGCTAGACTTTCTGCTCTGTTGAAATTATACCTTTCTGAATTAATATCACTGAAAGGATGCAGAGAGCTTGAATACATCTTCACTGACAAAATAGGACAGAAATCCAGCCAATATGACAACAGCCTCCAGACTCGTGCTGCACCTATGACCCTAAGGCAGAGGGAGCGTCACTTCCTCTCTAGAAATTAACGTTTGGTGGCATGGCTGAGAGACAGCTATAGCTTGGAGAACTGGTGACATTTAAAGAGGTAAGTGTCAGATTATATGTTTTTAAACAGGTGTCACAAACATAACCTTGTGCAGTAGCACATGCACTGGCGTACCCAGAAGCCCGCACCTCTGACTGACACCTGCCACTCAGAAGGCACAGGTGCCTCACTCCACCTGCAACACACACTGGCGTTTCCATCCCATGGCTTCCCAGTAAAGTTGTTCTGTTCCGTGGACAGTGACAAAATATATAAATACATCACTGTCAGGCGAAAACACATAAGATGAATAGAATGGCAAAATCTGACGCATGTAAAGACAGCCTCACGCACATGAGCTATGATTTCGCAGAGTCCCAAAGGTCTCTGACAGGTTTTGCTGGAATCATAAAGCAGAATTCACGAGGAGGGCATGCCCTGCCCGGTAAAATGTCAGTGAGGACGGGACCTTCAGAGGGTCCCCTCCTACAGAGGAGAACAGACAAAAACATGGGAGGTCACAGCGTTTTCTTCAGCAAGCCAAGGAAATTCACGAAGAAGAGTAATAGGAGAATGTGGGTAATGCAATCAGTATGTACTATCTGCTCAGAATGGGACTGCGGGATTGCAGACTCTCTTTCCAAAACAAAAGCAAAGGGAAAGTGGAAGCCCTTAATTTGGACACGGGGTCTCTGCCGGCGTCCATTACAGGCATCTCAGCTCAGTCCCTATCTTTCCTGCAGGCTCTCCCTGTCACTCGCGTACAATCGGGGTTCCCAGTCACACATCCAGCTTCGGAAACCTTACGGCTCACAGAGGGACTGGGCTGTTAAGATCCCCACCTAGACACTAGACAATGTCACAAAACCCCACAGTATTTCCCCAATGCCCACACAGGATTGCTAATAACTGCCGATGCGTGCATATGTAACAGTTTCCGTTTATGAAAAAGGCAGGAGGAAATTATTCGCAGTCCCGTGCTGACAATGCCATGTGCGTTCGGGACGGACGTGGTGGGTCGGCTCTCCTGCCTCGTGGTCGGCGGCATGGCGCAGCCCAACGCTACCTCACTTTCTGCAGCTCCTGTCTCAGCCAGGCCGGCAGGGGCTGCCCCAGCCTGTGCAGCAGCTTGGACAGCTCCACGTTGTGGTCTCGATAGTAGCTGGAGAGCCAGGCTCGCGCCTGGGAAGCAAAAGCAGAAGGAAGAGTGAAGGGAGTCAGGGGCTCACTCAACGAGGGTGTGCGAATGGTCATGAAAAACTACGAAATCCTGTTACAAAACAGGGCACATAAAATGTGTTTGTTTGTAAGTGTCCTCAGATTTCACTCGTGTTTACCTTTTGAAAAGGTTTGGCAGAAATATAGCTTAAAATAGGAGCAGGTCCGGGTATGTCAGACGTGGCTTCCACCCCACCGGGGTCCTTAATGACTGGGGGAGTGGGAACAACCATGGAGGGAGAAAAGCCAGCAGGATGTGCCTAGGACTAAAATGGAATGAGGAAAAGAACCAACGTGCAACCAAACCTACAGCTTCAGCTAGAAAAAACAGACACGTCCTTTAAATGTGGTCACCTCTAAAACTGGGCTAGAGTATCAAACCTAAGGGTGAACCACAAAAGCTGAAATTCATGATTAAAGAAATAACTTGCAACATCACAGTTATCTGTGATGTTATAAAACATGTTCTGTATTTATCAGGACCAAAATAGACTTTTAAAAAATCACCAAGAGCTTTCTACTTCAAAAATATGATGTCTTGTTATAAAGATCATTATTACGATCTTAATTCTTGAGATTGTTATATTCTAGCCAAGATGGAGTGACAGGCTCTTACTAGATGAAGGGTAAAACCAAGAAGTATTGGATACATCAGTGTTTATGTTTTATTTTATTTCTGGAAAACTGGAAGTTTACAGTTGGCTTTTCCTCTGGGTGGCACTTACGTCATATTATAACCCCTTGTCACAGCTGTGCCCTCGACAGGTCAGAGGTGAACGTTTCCCTAAGTTCAGGTGGCTGTATCCACATGATGTTTCCATCTTGTCAAAGTTACACCCTCCTCTGAAGCCCTTCCCAGTATTTTAGCACAAATGGTCTCTTTTCCCTAAAACTCCTTAGCAACTTGGGGTAGACTGTGGAAATGGACTTCAGACAACTTCATCTCTCCTCGCACCATCTAGCACCAGTTATTTCATTATGTTCTTCCCTTAAAGCAGCTTGTAAACACTTCAAATTCTTGATAAGACGCTTATAAAAGCAGTGGGAACATCACATTGATTTCTTGGCAGATTAAAGTGATTTCTGAAACCCTTTGGAAATCATTGAGCTCAAAGTTCTAGTTTAAGGACCTCTGGTCCTTCGGTTTCCACAGCAACACCCGGTCACCCCGTCCTCCCGCTGTCCCCTTGCTTAGGAGAGGGACTCACGGCGGGGGGTTCACTTGGCTGCCAACTTGTCCCCACCCCCACGCCCCACAGCACATGTCTCCTGAGAAGCTCTCCCTGCCTTTTTGTAGTCTGCACTGGTTTCTGTATCTTCTTACAGACCAGCGGCCATAAGTATTTTTCCTCCTGTAGTAAATCTGGGTTCATAACTGTTTTATCCTGCACCTTCCCTGTGATACTGTGACTTATGAAGGAAATATATATTTGGTCTTTGTCCCCTTTTTGGCACAGAGTTCCTAAACTCTTGGAATTTCCTAAGTGAGAGAGTGACAAAGGTGTCTTATGTTATGAGGTGGCTTTTGGAAAGCACCTGGGGATGAGGGCTGGTTGCTGGAAGAACCGCCCATATAATCAGAAGGTGGGAACTTTCAGTCCCACCCCACAACCTCTGGGAGAGGCGGGGCTGGAGGGCCAATCAATCACCAATGGTCAATGAGTTAATCAATCATGCCTGTGTAATGAGCCTCCATAAAACCCAACAGGGAGGGTTGGGAGAGCTTCCGGGTTGGGGAGGACATGGGGCTGCTGGGTCAGAGGTGCCCGGACAGGCCTGCAAGCCCTCACCCCTTCCCGTGGGCCTGGCTCTGTGCGTCTCTCCTGTCTGGCTGTTCCTGAGTTATATTCTTTTACGATAAACTGGAGATCTAGTAAGTGATGTGGTTGTCTGAGCCCTGCGAGTCGCTCTAGCAAACTAATGGAACCCAGGGAGGGTGGTGGGAAACTGTGATTTAGAGCCAGTGGGTCCGAAGTGCAGGTGACACCCTGGGCTTGCGACTGGCATCTGAGGGGGTGGGGGCAGCTGGTGGGGCTGAGCCCGTAGCCCGTGGGATCCAATGCCATCTGCGGGCGGGTGGTGTCAGAGTGAGCTGACCTGCAGGACAGCCAGCTGGTGTCCGAGCGCTGTGTGGTGGCGGGATAAACCTCCCACTGCGTGCTGTAAGCAGTGACCAGGCGGCTTTGTCCCAATGCTGTCAGCACCTCACGGTGCAGGCACTGGGCGTGTGCGGTTAGCATATAGTTATAACGCTTACATATTTTATCCCAAATCTTTGTTCAGTAAACAATGTCAGCTTCACCCATTTGGAAGCATTGTCCAGACAGCATCTACGCTTCCACTGTGTCCCAAAGGCAAACAATTTCTATGACATCTACCAAATGCTGTTGGCCGGTCGGTCTTCTAAACACAAAACTATCGGCAGCCAGCAAGGGAAGCAGAGAGAGGTGGTCAAGTGCTCTCAGCAGCTCTGAAACGGGGTTTGCAAAGTCAGGGAGTGTTACCTCTGGGCTCATGGGCGGGTACTTCCGGCCTTTGCTTCTCCCAAGGCATTTGGTCTTTCCTCCTTCCAGCAGCTGACACCAAAAGCCCTTCTGGGGGTCAAACCTGCAAATGACCGAACATACAAGTGATTATAAAGAGTAAAATGATAAACGCGTGTACAGAAATTTGAGTGAGAGCCTCACCGCGCATAGAGGAGATGAACTTGCATCTGCCCATTGCTTCGGTTTAATTTAATTCGCTTCTATAGATATTTACGGAAATGATTTGAGAGTCTAACTGAGATGAAATAAACTATGTTATATATTTTTGTATTTTTCTACTGTGATGAAAAATATATACATCTTAATCCAATCTTATGATGAAGTTATTCGCCTAAGTTCCGTGTTTTCCTTATTCATCCATAAAAGATCAAGGACCAACCGTCAAAACTGTTGCACAACCCACATGCACAGAATAGTTTTTTACTTACTAACACGGTTTCCCTGTCAAAACATATTAATAGATTTCTTTGAAATCATTCAATGGTATATATTAAAGTGACTGAATGCAATGTAAATATAATTCTGTGAATATAAACATGAATTAAATTTGGAAAAATACTGTGTTTTTTTACAGTTCAAAATGTTCATACCTTTGCAGGAGAAAATTGAAAGTGTAAAAATACAATATATTCTGTATGCTTTGGACGGCATGAGGCACAGGCTGAAAAGAGGGCGGGGACTAGCGTCATTTCTTTCGTTGAAGGCCTGTGACCCTATGGACAATCCAGGTCCCTGTGCTCTTAACATGCAAATGTTTTGCTTCCTGGGCTGCCCAAAGTTACAGAAGAAAGGAGGTGTGGCCTAACTATTTTGTTTAAACTCAGGTTTGTGAACATTCCTGCTGTGCAGTACCAAGACAGGAAAATGGGAGAATGAGCCAAGTAAGACGGCACATTTTAAATTTATCGCTGTGGGACTTGCTGCATACATAAAATATTGGAAGGTTTGCATTTTTGTTGCTCAGCAGATGTTTTCAAAGGATGAGGCATATTGCCTGGGATGTAAAGTGAATTAGTTGCGGAACGTTTTGTTGCCCTGGGCCCGTCCCTGCACTGCTGGTGCCACTGCTCTGCACACACGTGACTCCTGGGGGAGAAACGGCCGTCAGTCCCCTGCCCAGCCTGTCATTAGAGCTGTGCCCCTGCAGTCCAGCTTGGCCTCGTCCATGTTACCCATTAAGACTAAGTCCATCACTGGGCGCGTCGACAGAGGGAAGACGGGGTCCTCTCCAACCTGGACTTCCTTGTCTGCTTCTGGCCTGTCGGTCCTGCTTCGTCTCCAGTCATTTCCCAGGAGGAGAAGCAATGCAGCCAGCCGTGCAGAACGGGCCGGGGAAGCCGGCCTGACGCGCCCCTACCAGCGTCTTCTGCCTCAGGACGAGAACATTTAACTGCATTTAGGAAACACACAGCTCTGGCAACACACCCGCTGCTGTCGGGGTGCGGGGTCTCAGGGTGGGCTGCCGTCACCCTCGCTCTGCACAGCAGCGGCTGAGGCCCCTGGAAGGCTGAAGGTCGTCCTTTAGATTGGGTGTCCTAACCTTGAGTCCACATTATTTTGGTGTCCTGGTTTCATTTACTGCACTGACCATGTTCTACACCCACAGTCCAACAAAGGGCATTTACTCTTTCTAAGTGACAGCAATCCGCAGCTTTGTGGCTTTGTGTTGGTGGGCATGACACTGTGACATTAAGATGCAGAGCCTCTTCCAATAACTGAGACAGCCTGCAGGACATCCACTGGCTGCCCTGCCACTTACTGTACTGCGCTGAGCAGCACTGTAGCGATTAATTCTGTGAAGCGTGAGGCATATTAAAAACCATACATTTTGTACTTGTTTGTAATCTCTTCTTTTAAAGTAGGATTTTACAGGCTTATTGAACCATAAGCAATATTTGCAGTAAACAGGATGGAACCATTCCCTGAATTGCTGCCGGGAGGCGGGAAGGCCCGCCCTCATGGGCAGCGTTCCGTGGGGCGTGTTAGGGGAGCCCCCTCCATCGCTGGCGGCCTGCCTGCCTGTCTGCCTGTCGGGCGGTGCAATTCCCTGTGCAGGTAAACCTGCATTAGAGCTGCTTCGGTGCAGAAGGAACAGCGCAGCCGCCTTCCTGCTTTGCCTGTTTCTCCAGCCCCCTCCCTAGCTGCCTAATTGCTGCTGCTCACTCATCTGTCGTGAACTGGGAAATTATATAATCAGGCTTGTTGGAATTTTGTCTAAAATTTAATGGGCTTTCTATCAGGCCTCAAGAGGGAGTCAAGTACACGCCCTTTTAAAATGTGCTGTGGCTGCTTGGAGGTTTTGTTTGTGTTTGTTTGTTATGTCGCTTCTTTACATTTTTTCCACTTTCAATTGTCCAGACACATGGCTTTGTTTTCCCAAGACGACTGCAGTCCTCTTCCCTGCCCCCCACCCTACCCCGGCCCTGCAGCCTCTCCTGCAGGCTGCCCTCACCCTCCCTTCCCCTCGGATTTGGGCTGGCTGCAGTGACTTGGCTGCAATCAATGAAATGTGGCCTAGGTGACGCTGCGTGGCTTGCAAGGCCTGGCTCCCCTGGACATGTCACAGAGCAGAGCCACCGTACTGGGACAAAGCCTCATGGGGAGGTCGCCTCTGGTGGAGTGTCGCCTCTGGTGGAGTGTGGCCTCTGAGCCAGACATGCAGACGAGGCCGTGAAGAGAGTCAGGTTCAAGGTGTTGGAGCAGGGAGATGCTGACAGCACTCTGGGACCCGCCAGGGGCACGGCAAATCCACATGTGGCATGAGACCCTCCGACGGGGCCTGAAAGCTGGATGGGCGGGGCCTCCCCAGCACAGGTGGGAAGGGCCTCGTCCCGATGGGAAGGACAGGCAGAGTCACCGTCTCACCAGGGAGAGTCCCACCCCAGCCCGGAGATGCACAATCAGGAAGGACCTCACAGGCACGGGGCCGTCCCCAGGGAGCGCGGGGTTCCGCTCCACACCAGGCACCCTGCCCTTAGACCCTGCACAGGAGGCACGTGCCCCAAATGCTGGCTTTGTTAGCCTACTAGGATCACATCCAGGAAAATGAAAGGGCTGTAGGAGCCCACTCCTGAAGGGCTCCTGTGCAGACCACGGCCTGATGCCAGCACAGAACACCGCTGGGAGAACACACAGGCCACAGGGGGAGGAGACCGCTGCAGCCTGGGAGGGTTGCCGGGGAGGCAGGGCCCAGCCGGCTCCCTCCCTGGGGCCTGAGACACCGGCAGGACCGTTTTTAAGACCTTGCTCCATCTAGCTAATACCTGCTCTTCCCCATGGCCACACGGCACAGCTGGGGCAGGGAGAGCCCTGTCCATCCTCACACCACAGTCATGGCCCAGCCACGGCAGGAGGGGACACACGGCCTGCGCAGGGGACGCCCCTGAGCACCTGGCTCTGGCCGGGGCAGATGGCGCTTCTGGGCCACAGGGCATCTCCAGTGCGTTGGCACTCCTTCATGACAGGGACAGGTCACTGAGTTAGCCAATATGCAGAAGCAAACACAGAGCGTTAGGCAAAATGAGCAGAGAAAGGAAGAGATTCCAAATGAAAGAATATGACAAAACCTCAGAAAAAGAGCTAAATGAAATGGAGGTAAGTAATCTACCCAACAGAGACTTCAAAGTAATGGTCATAAAGCTGTTGACCGAACTGGGCGAAGGACGGGCGAGCACAGAGAGGACTTCATCAGGGAGAAAGGAAACACGGCGAAGCATCCGTCAGAGACTGTAACACCCCTGAGAAACGTACGGCGGGCAGACTAGCAGCCTGGCCCAAGCAGAGGAGCGAGTCCACGAGCTGGGAAACAAGTGACAGGACTCACGAGAGAGCAGCAAAATCAAAACAGGATTTTAAAAAGTGAAGATTCCTTAAGGTACCTTGGGGACACCATCAGGTGAAATGACATTCACAATATAGAGGTCCCAGGACCAGACAGCTTCACTGGTGAATTGAAGCAAACATTCAAAGAAGATTTAATACGTATCTTTCTCAAACTCTTCTAAAAAATTAGAAGAGGGGGAAAAACTTCCAAACACATTTTATGAGGCCAACATTACTCTGATACCAAAACCAGACAAGGACTCCACAAAAAAAGAAAATTACAGGCCAATATCCTTGATGAACCTAGATGCAGAAATTCTCAACAAATCCAACAATACGTTAAAAGGCCCTTGCACCATGCTCAAGTGGGACTTGTTCCAGGGATGCCAGGATGGTTCAACACTCGCAAATCAATCAATGTGACCACCAAAAAACTGTTAGCACTAACAAATGGATTCAGTAAAGTTGTAAGACACAAAATTAATATTCATAAATCTGATGTTTCTATACACAAATAATGAACTATTGGAAAGAGATTGAGAAAACAGTCCCATTTGCAATTGCATCAAAAAGAATAAAATACCTAGGGATACATTTAACCAAAGAGGTGACAGGCCTGTACTTGGAAAGAGAAGCCTGCAGAAGATCCCCGTCCCAGCTGTTCCCGTCATCTCCAGACACTGACGTCTTCCCCACGATGGCCCCAGCTGTCACCAGCAGGGACAAGCTGTCCAGGCTGTGTCCTGTCTCAACCCCCAGCCCACAGAACCCATGAGCTGATGACGTGGCTGTGGTGGGTGCTGCTAGGTTTGGGCTGTCACACAGCAGTGGGTCACTGGGACATTACAGGAGATTATATTTGGTCACCTAACATCATACATACAGGACAGAGCATGCAAATACCCCCTTTCCTTTTGCCCGAAATACCACTCGCGTTCTTCCCAGCCAAACTTTTCCACCTCTGTAAGCTCCACTCCTGGGACACTCTGCACAGCTTGGGCATGTAAACAGCTCACTTAGCCAAACTTATATGGCACAGAAGCTCACGAATATGACACAATAAAATGCCTATAAGAAAATACTCTAGAGGCAGTGCTCCTGGTGTTCAGAAGGGGAGAGCGTACCGCTGGTGAGGAGGCTCCTCTGATGGCATGTAAGTAGCAAACTGACATATAAACTCACGGCTAGTGAGAGCGGCGCTGCACACACACTGACAGTGAGAATCTGGGACGGCCAATAACGGGAATGAAAGCAGCAGGAGAGTGGACTCACGTGAGCGCTTCCGAGTAATTATAATAAGGCGTCACTCCAAGAAACTTCTGGACTTCGTCCATCACAGTAGCTGGGTCCGATCTCAGTTGCTGTCCGTCAATAATTAGCAACTGCAAAGGCAAAGAGTCGCTGTGTGAAGAACAAAGCTGAGTTAAGCAGCCCACGCCGTCTCCCTGCCCCGGCGCACCGCTGAGCAGGGGGCGTCACGCGGGGCCTGGGACGCTGGGCAGCGTCTCCTATCCCTGGGCCTCCAAACGGACAATTAAAAGTCACCACCAGCAGTGCTTACGGCCCCTTAAGGAGCCTGACTGTAAGTCAGGCATGAACATAGACCCTCTCTTGACTTAGCAGTGCAGTGGGGACATCTCCCATCCACCGAGAAATCAGGTTATTATCCAGCCTATGAAACCCCACGGCCTAAGCTTGGAGCTCAGGCCTTAGAAACAGTGGGTGTCTGGATGGAAAGTACCCACCATTCTCCTTACAAACCACAGCAGAGAACTCAGGTTCTAGTTGGGACCTGATCTGGACTGAAGACTGTAAGCCACATGCATGCTTTGCTCACACCCTCCTTCCTGTGACAGCGCCACCCACTTGCACGGCCCGAGTGCACGCACGAGCTCCTTGCTTCCTCGTGAGATTCCCCACGGCACATGACATGCGCACATCTGCATAGGCACTCCGTAAACGTCCTGTGTCACTGGCTGCTCTGCCGCTATCACGATTGTCGCTGTGACTCACGGGTGTGCCTTGTGTGAGGACTCACCACTCGGCCACCAGCTAGCATGCCAAGGAAGCCCCGAGGACGTGTCGCAGGCACCCACCCCAGGTTAATGCTATTATCGACATTGAAAAGGTAATCTCCACATCCCCGCCTTAGGATGATCCCCTCTGACTAGGAATCGCTATCGGTGGCAATGTCAATGCCTATTTTCAGTTTGTCAGTGCAACACAATCCTGATGTAACACAAATTTCAGGACCTTACCTGAGATGCGGCGAAGTAAGTCAGCCATCTTTCTAGGTGGACTGCATACCATCCGGGTACTAGGCACTTCCTCTGCAACGTTTTGAGGTCGGACGGAGCCCAGTGTCCGGTTGTAATGACTTCATAGAAATTAAACCTCAGGGCAGCTGGGTCTTCATGGGACCGTTGGTGCTTTAATAAAAGAAGTCAATTGTAAAATTAATTTTCTCTATGCCTGCACAGGTTCATGTGCGTGTGTTTCACGTGTGTATAGGTGTGTGTGTGTGTATGTGTGTGTGTGGTGTGCGCGCTTCCTTTATTTCACAAAAGTAATAAAAATGATTTATTGTTTCTAGAATAAAAAGTCCGGTGCAGAGTGCATATGCTGAAGCCAGGCGCTGGCAGACACTGAGTACAAGCCTTGCACAAACAGCAGTAATGTGCACGGGCGCTTGAGGTCGCCTTCGTGTCTCAGCTGTCTGGGTGCAAGACAAGAGGCCGAGCACAGGGATTTTCTCCTAAACGAAAGGGTGTCACAGACCAGACGGATCACTGTGACGAGGACAGATGCAGACTGGCAGGAGCAGGCTCACAGGTCGCCCAGCTCTGGCTTCACAGCCACTCCTGTGGCTTCGACATTTCTCCGATATCCCTGCAGGCACCACGGGGACAGAGGCGCCCGTGTCTGTCCCTGACGCTGGTCAGGCGTTGTACTCATTCTGACACCAACCACGGCCCTTTGCTTCTGCTCTCCTAGGGGTTTCCACCCTAGCCTGCTAATCCCCCAATATGCCTCATTGCTGTGTTTGGGTGCCGAATGCTCTGGGTCCTTCCCATCACACCACCGCTGGTCGGGCACAAGAGCCCAACACAGTGAGAGACGAATTCAACACTCAGTACAATTTCATAAGCGTTCAGTAAGCTCCTTATCAGACCAAGGAACCACAGTAGAGTCTGGCGATAAAAAGATGTGACATAATTACTCCCTTGAAAGAAAGTACATTTGTATGTTGTAATAAAGTTGTGTGTGTGAGTAGAGATATACGTCACTTGCCATGATAGGGAGACCACTAGATTACTTATGAATGGAAAGTGAAGGAGTCTGTGTCAATCGTTGGAGTTTTTGAGCCAAAATGTAATGAGAAAGGTTTTGATAAGCAGAAAAAAATGAAACATGGAAACTAGGAGAACATTTAAACATTTCTTTAAAGCAAGTGTGAGTGGAGGTGGGTGAGGTGTGGGAATGGATGAGTCGACTTTGCAAGATCTTTAAAAGTTTACCGTAAAGAAGACTTACTGCAGGGAAAGGGCGGAAGTGTGTCAGGGCACGACACGACTGTGTAACAGCCGGGCTTGAATGTGAGTCAGAAATAAAAATTACTAAAGGCTGAAGGTGATTAAGAAGTGGTCAGTGGCTAAAGAGTGAGTAGTGACTGGTAAATTGGTGGGACTAATAAACCTCCAAAGTCCTCTCGCTATTTATCGACATTCGTATTATATATATGTTATGCTGGTACATAGAGATTGCACAACACTTAATATAATGTGTAGAAACTACATAACTCTGACAAAGGTATTAACATACTGTGTGGACATTAATACAGTAATGCTACATTTTCTATGTTAAGCAGCCATCGTTTGAAATTGTACTTAATCTGTTCTACACTGATTTATATGAGTTTAGCACTTTATATTTCTGCAATTAGGAAGATTAGCATACAAATATGACCAGAAGTCACAAATGGACATATTTTATGGAAAAAATAGCACCGCTGATCCTCTGTGAGGCCCATTATAAAGGTGTGGGGTGTACACTGCAGTGGCCGGTGAGACTGGCAGGGATTCTGAATTGCATAAGCTGAGGCTGAGATTTATGGTGTTTACTGAAGAGTCAGGACCAGCTGAGTAATCGGCTGCATTATTTTGAAATGTGGGGAGTTGGGGGACCTTCCTCTTAGCAATGTGGCAACAGAAAGTATTATTTAAAAAAATAATTCCTTTGAAACGTGTATGTTTAAGGCATTTACTTAAAGAAGCGTGAGTAGATTCTCTTCTATTTAAATGGTTTAATCTATGCAAAAAAAAATTCATGTAAGTCTGCTTTACGTAGTGGCCATGTTTTCTGCTAAGAAGATGTACAGCATTTTGCCCAAGGCATTAGCTTCCAGAATTTTTAATGAAGCCTTAACATTGCAATGCTTTCGGCACAATTTGTTTAAAAGTAAGTTTATCTTGCTTTGCAATATGAATTTTCATAAAGTGAAAAGAGCACACCTTTGTATGCTAAAGGAGACACTGACCCATGGATTCTAATAATTCCTGAATCTAACCCCCATCCCAGCGTGCCACTGGAGCTCCCACCACTTGCAATTCCGATTTTCAATGTTATACTTTTCTGTGCATGATAGTTTGTTCCAAGTAATATGTGTTTATTGAAGAAATTCTGAAAAGTCAAGAAAAAGGATGAAGAAAAGATTTAAATTCACTGTTATCTTTCTGTGCTCTTTAAAAATTCCCCTTTAGTCTTTATTATTTTGGCATTAATTTCGGCACGCATTACACACACACCACACCAACGCACTCGTATCACTGGGACTTCAGTCCGCCTGCATCATCACCATACGCTCAAGATCACGCGCGTCAGTTAGGCCTCAGGGCTGCCGTTTTCATCTCTCTGATCAGCTTTACCTCCCCCTGTACTGAGGTTTCACAGCCCCTCCGCTCCACACAGCAGCCTCCCACATTATCTGGGATGGGGAGACCATCACGGTCACCTCAATTTCTCTACCCCAGACCTTCAAATTTTGTGACTTTTTTGCCTCTGCTTCACGAATCTGTTCAGTGTGACAGACACTCCCTATCACAGTCACCATCTGGTCACTCTTAGCCTTCCCCACCCCCACACACTCCTGCTTCCTTCTTCAGGGACTGTTTTGTCATGGAAACACGGCCAGTGACCAGTTCTCACTTAACGTCGTTGATAGGTCGCTGGAACCACAGCGACAGGACGTCTGAGGAAACCTGCTTTTCCACCGCTGATTGATAGAGCTGAGAGTTAGGCTCCCGGGCGTCTCATCCGCGTTACATGGAGACGCTGTTGGACTAAATGATGTCACTCTAGGGTCACCATCCAGTTGCGCAGATGGGACATTTGATTCATCTCTGCAGGTCCTGTTGAGTTCAGTCCCTGAGCATGTCCCCTCAGCGTGTGCTCACCATCCTGGTCTGGCCACCTGCAGTGCCTACATTCACACGGTGACCACATGCTTCCACCAGCATCTCCCCTGCCCCGTACCTGGTACCACGAGTACGCCCGGTCCGAGGGGTCAATGAGGATGGTGATGATCTTGGCTTTGGGGACCAGAGAGGCAGCTCGCTTGGGAGCGTCTTCAGAATGGAAATAATTAGCACTCTTTTCAAACAGAAAGTCACTGGTGATGTTGGATGGCGTTGGGAAAAAGTCCATGTACCTGAAGGCAGAGAAAGACAACCAATCGGAGGTCTACCTTTTCCTGCCATCCTGTGGACATGCGTTCATTCTTACATTTTCACGCTCATTTCTATCTGTCTCGATGACTAGTGTGACAATGGTGGAGACAGTGGCTATCCTATACACTGGGAATGTGAGAACAGCCCAAGCCCCGTTGTTCTAATGAAGTATTTAGGGCAGGGGAGGTGCGAGTGGACGCAGGTGGCTGTTAGGGGACAGCGAGGACATCCTGTAGAGTGGACTCGACATTTTGTGTGATCACAAGCCAAATCCAGAGAAACTGAGCTTGCCCTTGGCAAACAGCAAATGACTCCACATTGCCTGGTAACTACGGTAACACAGTAAATCAATGTTTGCACACTTGAATGTGACATTGTTACACTGAGATTAAAGTGTGAGTCACAAGAGAAGATCATGGAGTAACTATCTCCTCCAACTGCTCCATAATTTGTGCTAATGTGCAACGTGGGCACAGCAGAGCCCTCTCGAGTCATTAAAGGGACGGCTCCCGCCAGTGGACACTGTGGCACCTCTGCAGGTTTGCGCCTCTGTGTGGAGATTATGGAATCAATATGTTCCGAGGTTAATCCAGTGCGAAACTGTAATTATGTGTGTAGCCCTCCTTACAGCTCATCACTTCTCTAACCCTCAAACATTCTAGAAATACAGACCGAGCGCGATTACGAATGCGCAGAGGACACTTAGTCTCGGCTTTGACATTTGTTATCATGTTTCTGCAAGTGAGTGGTGGGGGTCTCATCTATATTCTGCTTCACACCTTGTGTTCTCCTGGGGTTTACAGAGAAAATGGTGGCTGTGCCTTTCAGCAACTCGCCTGTGATTCCAAAATTCATTTCATTGTTTTATGGTGCTGCAGAACAGAGATCCCAGGAGCAGAGGGGACAGATGCATGTCCACCATGACGGGAAGGCTAGTAGCTCCGGCATGCCCCTGTCCTTCCCTGGTCCCTGTGCGTCTGAAAGGGGACAGGCTCATGCGTGATGCTGAGGTGTGCATTGAGGGGACTGTCCTCAGGGAAGAGATGCCTGCACATCTGGGAACTGGACCTCAGGGCCACATTTTCTTACATAATTGGGACAGAGCCAGGAAAAAGCCCCAGAAGGAAGATCAGTTGCAGCGTCAGGCTTATTCTATTGCAGTTTAGGAAAATACTGTGATTTAAAATTTTGTCACAATTCATCTAATGCAAAGTAATATTCCTCTTATGCACTTGTGTGATGAGCGTTAGTATTGTTTTAGAAATGTCCTGTTATTATTTGCATGACAACTATCGGCTTACATTATAACACAGCATTTATAGTCTACGTGGTTAATGGAGATGCATGTCACAGAGGGGAAAACAACAGCCTATTGATTTATTTGTTTCCTCAAGCGTCACTGTGAAGACAAATTATGTAATTAGTTAGAAAAATCCTAGACACAGTGAAATAATAATATGCTTAAGGAGAATTTTAAATATCCTTATGAATAATTCTGATGAAAAATATTCCATAATCTGCTTTATTCTATCATAGTAATTTACCAGAAAAAATGTTATCATTATTGTACTGTCCAAATCAAATTATAGGCAACACTGATTAAACATATCGTCCGTCGTCATGAATTAATTTCTAATTCACTACGGTATAGTTGAGCATAAGGAATTCATTCTGCAATTGCGCGGATGCCGTGCACACATCTGGGGCGCCTGCCGTGGCGCAGCGTGTGCGGCGCACGAGCTTTCCTTTCGTTTTCCTTACCAGTCGATTCCCTTGTGGTAGTTGTTGCCGTTGAAGAACTGAATTTCCTCGAACGTCCTGGGGCTGGGCAGGTTGCTGATGACGGACGGGTGCATGAGGAGAAACAGATACAGGGCCGTTGTGCCTGGTGTAGAGAAGGAGGCGGGTGGCGGTGAAAGAAGAGACAAATATCATTTTAGCAGAATTTTTGCTCAAAAAGTAATATTCAAAAGACCAGTTCTTTCCAGAGTCAGAATGATTTCCTTAAAATCAGTGAGGTGCGTTTTGTTGTTGTTGTTGTTTTTTTATGTGGCAACAGCCTGCCGTCTTTTTGTGGTTCCTTCTCATGAGTCTATTTACCTGAACTCCTGGTCTGATATTGGTGCTGAGGGAAGGGCAGTGGCCTGACGACAGGACTCGGGCAGAGCTTTGGAAATCGGGGTTCAACCTCCCTCCTGGAGTCAGGTGGGTGCCAGAGCACTGGGGCACCAAGCACTACACCTGAGCCCCACTTAATATCACATTCAGATCAATGAAGCAAGATCGAACTATTCGGCAGCTACTGTCTGCTCCTACCCTGCACGTCCTTGCAGACCGCTGAGGATCTTGGCGAGGAAACACATTTGCTGGGGTGTATGTGGGGACTAGGGTCAAGGAAACAAGCACTTACCACATGGAGACACAAGTTCCACAAGAGAGAAGACCTGAGTGCTTTTCTGTACTGAGAAGGTGGTGATTTAGACTTGGGAAGTCAGTGAAGGCTTCCAGGAGGAAGGGGTTCTAAGGTTATACTTTAAAAGCATCCATGCTCCCAGAAGGGGTGAAAGAGGACAGCAGGATTGATTCACTTGATCGTGCTGCCCTGGCATGCTGGGGCAGTCACGTCTGAACAGAGCAGCTGACAGGCCCCCTGAGAGACTGGGGGCCACCGAGAAAGGATCGGGAAGTGACTGGGTCTACAGGGCTCTCACAAAGCACAGCTGCCTCTGGAAAAGGTCTGCCCTTCAGAGGACGCTGGACCGTACGAGAGCTGGAGATGAGCTATACAGCTGGGCCGGCTGGACAATAGTGATGACAGATGGGGACCTGGGAGCAGAGAAAGTCACAAGAGAACTGCATTTTGTTCGAAGACATCTCAGCTCATAGGAGCAAAGGCTGATGGGCTTTAAGTGCAGGGGGCATCAGCCACTTCAGTCCTCCCAGCTCTGCGGACTCACCGAAGCTGAGCAGCACCATGGGGGGCTGAGGGCGACGAAGGACTGATGTCGGAGGGGCGGCCTACCTCCTGGGATGGAAGACACACTAAACATCTGGAATGGTGGCTCCCAGTGAAACGGGAGGGCACACATTAATAAACGCCCTGAGCAGACTGAATCACTAACCCAAAATGACCTTTGAAAATGAACAAACATGGAATTGCATCACATAAGCTCCACAAAAAGAACCGAAGGAAACAGAGCTGATTAAGAGCTGGGTTACAGGCCCGGACGACCAGGTGGAAGACCCGTCTCAGACACGCTGAGAAACGCAGACATGGAAGTCCCAGGGGCGACAGCAGGTTAGAAGAACGAACCTGATTTGCTCCTGAAAACAGGAGAGTTCAAGGAGACGACGAGGTGAGAGGAGGAGCGAGAATGTTCCAGGGAGAAGAGATCAGTTAGAGGCCAGCGGCAGATGGAAGGCAACGGGGTCCAGACAGGCTCTAAGTACTTGATAGAGCTCGTGTGTGTGTGTGTGTG